CCTGAGCCTATTGATGTACTCACTGGGCCAATCCATCTTGTGGCGGGCTTTCCTCTTTTTCGCTGCCCTTCCATTTTACCAAGCATGATGTCTAGTGGTTATGTAATCCGCATGGTTGGCAGTTTGAAATCAACAGCCACTCCTCAGGGGAAAGATGGTGCTTTTTTACCTGCATAAACAGTTACAGTCTCTGAAACACACAGACAGGTTGCTATGAGTCAACATCGACTTGCTGGCAGGTGAGTTTGGCTTTTGGATTTGGATGTCCTTCTCTTGACAATATGTCCAAAGCATAGGATGATGTCTTGCCATCTTGATTGAGGAGTAATTGCTAGTACCTTTATTATGAAAGAGGGAGCTGTAGTAGAGTAGCGATTACATTAGACTGTGATTCCCAAGGTCAGCAGTTCAAAACCACCACCTACTGCATGGGAGAAACTCCCATAGAGAGTTTTAAGAATGAGAATTTGTATTTTGTGTTATGAGATTATATTATGGTGATGTTTACTCTATTATTGACCTGTGGTAATGTGTAACCAGTTAAGGAGTCATTAGCAAGTGTATTTTAAAAAGGATACATTTATTCTTAAACAAGAGAGAGAGAGAGAGAGAAATAGAGAGAGAGAGAGAGAGAGAAAGAGAGAGAGAGAGTCTCTGCGACTCCTCACAGGGTCAGTTCTACCTTGTCTTACAGGGTCTATGAGTCAACATTGACTTGATGGCAGTGAGTTTGGTTTTTGTGGTTTATTATAACATGCATTCCTTCCTTTACAGTTAATAACAAATCTATGTAGTGATACTTTGGACTTTTGTATCCTACTTCCAACATCCTTTAAGCTTTTGTTGATTATTGTTGCATGGCATTAAAATATTCCAGCAGGTGGTCTTCTAAAATGACCAAGCATTTTACATTTATTAGACGATGCTTTTCTGTAAAGATCTTTCTTATGTTACTTTCTTCTTTGATTTTCACCATCTGTGTTTTGAATATTACTATGGAGTTATCATTTCTTTTTAAAGGCTTCATATTGGCTTTGTTTTAAAGCCACCTTGTACAAGTTTTTACAAATTAACACAACCCTGTTGTATTTCTGTTCTTTCTTGCTGCAAGACACAGTATCACCTGACGCTTTCTCTGCTTCACACCTGCAACCACTTACTTCTCCAGGGATGCCAGGCTTTGTGAAGTGGGTAATGGTATTTAGAAACTGCTAGGTGGTTTCTGGGGCTACTTACTGATACTGGGGGTTGTAGCTTCTTGGAATTCTCAATGAACAGAGATAAGAAATTGTACCAATAACAACTAAAAATGAAGTATCCTTTTCATTCCAATGACAGAACTTTAACTATATCAACTATAACATTAACTTCTGCTTACTTAGACTATTACAAAAATTTCCTAACTGGTTTCTCTCCCTTAATTTTCTTCTCTTATATGTCTACCTTTAAGCCTTAGTGGCATAGTAATTATTTGTTGAGCTGCTAACTGCAAATTCAGTTCAGTAGTTTAAGATGGGGTTTTCTACACCCATAAAGAATTACAGTCTCAGTACTGAGAATCAAATGAAGGCCAAACATGATAGCAGGACAGGAGGAATGTAAAGCGAAATAGAGGAAAGAACTAGGAGGTAAACAACATTTATAAAGGTATAAATATAGGTATGTACATATGTAAATATATTATTATATAATGATAGAGATATAGGTCTATGTACATATATTTCAATGTTAAGTATTAAGGTAGCAGACAGGCATTGGGTCTCTACTCAAGTACTCCCTCAATGCAAGAACACTTTGTTCTAATAACCTAGCATTATGTGATGCTTACCTTCCCTACATGATCGGTGAAGTCAAAATGGGTGCATAAGTAAATGTGTGCATTAAGCTGATGGTGCCCGGCTATTATAAAATAGAGCAGCT